ACACTCTGTGCTGCTGTCCTCCTCTACGATAATTATGACATTGTGACAGATTGGGTCGTTTCTGGGAGACGAATACGTAAACATATTCCAACCGACGAGCATCCAACAATTTAAGGGTGTCAAGTGCTAGGCAACAGACCGGTTAAAATATATCACACAACGAATATGAACCAGTATGGCGTCCTTTCCTAAGCAATGCATAGCTGGACACGCCTGATGATTATACATGGTACCCGTCTTATTTCTGATCCATTCACAACGTCATATGGAAATAATATTTTAATATCTTGCATAATAAGTATTTTGACGTTTCACCTTCTGTGTGCTGAGCTACAGATTGCTTAATTATACAGTTCTACAATCTGAGAAATTCTCGTCGTCTTTATGTAAATTATTTATGAAAAGCATGTTAATATTTGTAATTCGTGTTTGACGCCATGCCACTTCAGGAAACGAATGTATAAAAACTTTACTTTCCACAGACTAACGAGGGATCAATTCCCAACATCGTTTAAAGACTGTATAAAGAATGATTATTCTTCTCAACGACTGCCCCGTTCACAGCGTCGCTGAGTGATTGCATAGAAACACAATGTTATTTCCCAAGAAGTTCACATCCTCTCCACCCAATAATGCATTTGCGCTCTTATTTGTATTCGTTGTAGCAGAAATACATTTTAAAATGACGTTTTTTTTCATTAATACCAAAGAATTTTCTTCCCTTGCGTGTATATTCGTTGCCGCGGAAACCTCTTTAAGAAGACGTAGCCGGCATTTGAATTCTCAATTGTTCTATCACACCAAACATTGAGCTTCCTGTGAGACAGCACGTATGTAATTAAAGGAATGATATGACGTCACTATTTATGTATGTCACTGTAGGAGTGTTTCGGACTCGTGAACGGATTTAGTGGCCACTTCCACACGCGTAATTCGTGACTCGTGACTACACTTTACAGATCACTGACACACACAAACTATTGTGGTTTCAGTTTATTCCTGTCTTCACTACCCGTTTCCTGGCAACAGAATTTAGCACAGGAGCTGTAACAGTCTCAAGGAATTACACACTCCATATATATTACTGGAACTGTTCTGTTCGCAGATTCACTCTTGGAGCAAATTCATTTCTTCACAGTTTCCCTTACACAACTGAAATCTCAACTTAGAACTGCCTGGGTCGCACTAAATTGTCTTCAGAATAACACCTCGGCAGGGACAACTCAGAAAACAGCCTATAATTTATATACAGGTGTGTTTACCGCGCTGTTGCATAGCAATTATCGAGAAGCTGATCACATATGAAACACCGTTCAGTTGTGTACTTGTATTTTGCGAGGGTTACCTAGCGACCTATTTGTACCATAGAATATGTTAAGCCTATTCATAATAGTATTTATCGTGCCTCTCATTTTCTTCTGCTTTATACACCACTGAATGCGCCTTTAATTATATAATTTATAAATACCTTATGTGTAGTATTGTGGTCGACAATCACGTTCTGAATCCCGACCTAGTTATCGCTTCATGAAGTGTATATATGGAATTGTCGTATTCTAAATTACACTTTATATCCTCACAGGCCGACCTCCTGTGTAGTTCTGTAGTCCTGGTTCCAAGTGTCGAGCTTCCCCCGCTACACATTCTCTCGCGTGTAAGTCTCAGAGCTGCCTGACTACGAGTAACTTCTTAGGTATTGCAGTTTTCTCCTAAGAACCATCAATCGGACAAGTGGGAAACGCAGTTTGACTTCTGTTGTGTAATCGTCGTGGTTACAGAGAAGTTGTTAGGCAACGCTGCAAAGAGGTGTTTAACGCAACGCTGCGTAGCAACGAAGTTTTGGCTGGCCTCGACACGGCAATGTACCGAGAAAACACCGCTTTCCTTATAGTTGCGTAATTGTTATTATTATTATTATTATTATTATTTTATTATTATTCTTTTTTTCTATGCAATTTTGTATTCACTCGCTGGTCGTAGAACTTACACTGATACAGACAAGGGAAGTATACTCGTATACCATAAAGGGAACAATGGAGAACAAAATACATACATTAAGCGAGGTACATATAGTGCAAATCCAAACATATAAAGTTATAGAAGGCCACGTGTTCGTGTTCGTTTTCGGTTCACTGCACTCGCATAAGGACAATTCGTGTGTGGCCGTGTTTACAGACTTCTGTGGCTCAGCAATTCTTGCATGGCGTAAATACGCCAAGGTATTAATAATTTTTCTCTTGAAGTTCGAAGGTACTATCGCTTGCCCGACTCACGGACCTGAGCCGTTCTTGAGAAGCTGCACTTTTGTCCTAGAATGCTGCGATATCGCTATTTTGGCGTTTTAGGCTTCATGTAAAAACAAAGTTTTACGTATTGCCCTTCGACTTTTGCGTAACGTAATTCACTGTCCCCTAAAAGAAATAATATCGTAAGACCCTAACCCTTTTAGATTAATAACCATATGGCCAGGAAAAATAAATATAGTGCTGATAATATGAAAGAATACATACAGATAAAAAGAATGACTAAGAAGCAAAGACCAAGAATAATTATAACGTCATACTAGTAATGTATTAAACACAATGTGAAATATGACATAAATTTTAATGAATATAAAATCATTAATTTTTAGCAGTACTGAAAATTCAGATTCAACATTAATTCCAAATGTACAACTTAATCTTTAGATGCAACATTAATTCAAAATTTACAAATTTATCTTTAAATGTTTGTAAATACATACATAAGAAAATATTTTGCTTTCATAAACCAATTCCCATTTCTTTTGCATGCATTTCAGAATGCGCTGGCAATTTTCACTTGTTGCAGTAATTTTAATTTTGTCAGTTTCTTTATTAGTGTCATTACAGTTTATTAAATATCTCAAAATGTAAGTACAGTATATCTTAGCAGTCATTACATATTGTGCATGTAAAACTAAATTCTGAGTAATTTATTAACTAACCCAGCAATACATTGTGTTCCAGGCAAGACACTGGATGTATTGAAATTATATATATATATATATTGTGTGTGTGTGTGTGGGTGGGTGCGCCGCACANGCTCACGCACACAAACACACACACATCGTAACATTCTTTATGGGCTGATTTAATGATTAAATAAGACTGTATTATAGCATCTGATACACAGTAGTAATTTTTTACATGGATAAAACAATAAAGGTGAATAAGGGAGCTGCATATTTCATCTTAAAGAAGTTCTTTTACAGCTCATTTCCATCATAGAGTAGCTCAGGTGGAAGCATTTATTAGGTTTGATATGCAGAGAGAATGTTGTTTTAATAAGCTTTAAATATAAAGTCAGCAAGTTCATAACCATTTCTGTGAGAACCCCACATCCTGCAAGTGAACTTCTGATAGAGTTCAGAATTTTGCACCCAGTCATTACTGTCCTGTTATTTCAGCCATCAGCACAAGTAACAGGGGGTTCCTAGAGCCTTTTTTGGTAGCGCTATCAGTACTTATAAGTCTTTTCCTTTTATAAGTCATACTTAATATGGTATTAAGGAAATAGCATTATCTTATAAAAGATGGACCTCAGACCAGACTGTGAAGTGTACAGACCCGGCAACACTGCATTCATTTGTTTCCGTGTTCACTTTATGCAGAAAGGAATCTTGGATGAGTGAGTACATGTTCAGATGCCAAGCCAAGCCAAGCTGGGGGAATTCATTATAAAAGGTGAACTTTTGTAAAGTTAGGATTATGTGTGTATATCTTCAGCATGTACAAGTTTACTACCTTTGACAGTGTTAGTAAATATTATTTTACTACAAGTACATTCTCACTGATTAGATAAAAGTGCCTCTTTTTTGGATGTGAGAGAGAAATAATAATCTTGAAAGGAACCATAGATTAAATAGATTTAAACAAATACTAACTCCATGTATGCAAAGTCTCCCTTCAAAATTTATATTACTCAGTTAGTCAAGAAATTTCCAGCTTTAAAGAGACACATGTGAAAGATCTGTAACTCGTTTTATTAACACTGTGAAATATTTGGATTTATATTAAGAGTGGGACCAAATTTTGAGACAGGGCCAAGGAAATGAGATCAAATTGTTGTTATGGCTCTCAAAAAACTTGAAAATGGCAGTAAATAATTAGAAATGATCCTATCCTGGTGACAGCAGTGGTAATAATCTTAGATAGCAAATGGAAATTTCAGTCTTATGCCAGGATATAAAATTTTGTTTGTCACTCATGTCAAACATTTGAATGGAGGCAAGTTCTGAAATTCCGATTTGTTAGTGTTTTAAATTGTAAAATTGGAAACATTAAGCAGGAGCTTTGAGTGTGTTGAGGCTAGAAAGAAAAGTAAAATAGATTTCTTTATGCTGTGACTCACGGGGATTGGCAAAAGATTTGTTTCTCCTTACAAATTAGAATGAGTCTGAAAGTGCCTTCAGAACTTGCTGCACTCTATGCTGTACTGGTAAATATTTGCTGTTTCAGTGTAGAGTATATCGAGAGCTGACTCAGTATGTAAGTGTTAGTGTGTAGAGTTTCTTTTATTTGTTATTAATGGACTATAGTATCCATTATGAGAAAATTTTATTGGAAATTGAATTATGTGGAAAAACTATATGGTGTCTTGTGAGGAGAGAATTTCTTATTTCAGTATTTATACATAAAATACTATGTAATCAGTTGCTCAATAATTTTTGTTGTGGACCTAATACTTATGTTGATGCACCAGTTTGTTAAAATGATGAGTGTGTTCTGTATATTTTAAAGTTTTATGTCAAACTTTGAATTTACACCAACACATTATTATATTTTTCACTGAATATTATCATTCTTTGTTTGAAATAAACCACATCAGTGCTGTAAAGAATACAGTATGGGAGACATAAGAGTGTCTCAAATGGAGACAACGTTTCATTCCCAAAATAGAAGAGAGTAATTATTTTGATTAATTTGATAAATTTGATCAATCAAAACACCATGAAAAATGTTATTTTAAATGTACAGACCTTAGTTTTTTGTAGAGTTTATTACACTGTGAACCTTTGTAAAGATTTGTTTGCATTACATCTACAGAAAGAGGGATAATACTTCCAAAGTTTCATGGATGAATGACAAGTAAAAGGGATACAGTATTCAAATTTTGTATGTGCTGTTAGTTTTAATATATCTTGTGTAATTTACTGGTATAGTAATTACCATGTCTTGTTTTGAATTATAAGCTAAATACATATGCTTCTGCACATATCTGGAGAATATAGAAATATATGTAGTCAAGGCTGTTGGGTATGTGTTTATATGGACCTACTTTTCCACTTACCTATGTGATGTCCATGTACAGAATCTCATGTCAAGGGTTTTATTTTATAGATCCATACAGGTCAGTCATATTTTAAAAGTCAATTCCTCCGATGCAGGAGAAACCGATCTGCTACAAGCCTTGTGTTGTCACAGCAAAATGCAGAACATGCAGTATGGGCAGAACATTAATGTCCCAAACAGATTGTGAGGCCAACTATATAGGTCGCCTGAGACTATATGCATCTGTGACAATGCAGCCAACTTCCACACATAAAAAGTTGCAGTCACATTCCCTGTGGACATGAACATGGAACCTTGTGAATGTCAGGTTGCTGACTCATCCCTGGGACCAACACATCTGCTGGTTAAATTTGCCTGTAAAGTTACATGTTCAGTGAATTTACAGGTATCTATTTTCTAGATGTGAAAATATTTTAGAGATGTGTAATACGTTTGTGCTGTATATCCATTTAGACAAGTTACTGAGCTGCTTAGGCTGTATGCTGTTTGCAGGTTACACATCTTTCTGTTTTTTCAACAAAGGGGAAAGTTTGTTGGATTTTCTTCAGTGCTGCTTGCCGTTTCGTCTTCCTGTAAATGCAAGAACACAAATAACATGAGAGAGACATGGTTGCTATATTTCATTTGCTAAGAGCAATTTAGATTATCATCAGTCAAAAACTAAGAATTTTATTGGGCTCACTCAAAACATTACTTTATGAACAAAGTGAGTTTTCTAAACACTGCAGCCATAAAGTAAACTAATGTGTTATGGGTTGGCCAGTTTAACAGATGAACTCTTGGCTGTTCTGTATTATGTTCACAAGAAGAACTCACTTTGAAATTTATCTGTCTTTTTTCAAAATTTTTGAACCAGTATTGGATAGTTACACATAACAATACCATTACAACTATGAGATTTATCACATAAAAATTATGGTTGTTATATCACCATAAATATGAGGGATATTGGGAAAGTAACCTCCAGTGAGCTGTTAACGAAACAAGCAATAAAAGAAAAATCCATTACAACAAAAAATATGTGCATACTTAAGGTAATTCTCAACATAGTCACTGCTGGAATTGAGTCACTTCTCATATAGGGGAATAAGTTTTTGTATGCCTGTGAATTCAGCCATGTAGTGACACCTTCCATCAACTCGTTTTTGTTGTTGCTGTTGTTGTTGTTGTTGAAGTCCTGTGATCCCCACCTGTTCTTTATGTAGGTGAACAGGTGGCAGTCAAGTGGAACAATATCGGGGCTGTAAGGAGGGTGGTCAAACAACTCCCAGTTGAAATGCTCAAGCAGAGATCGAGTGTGAGCAGCTATATGTGGACTTGCATTGTCATGGAGGAGCACTACATACACCATTTCAGCATTCCACACCTTTCATTCTGAATGGCCCTATGCAGTTATTTGTGTTTCACAATACACTTCTAACGCCACTGTGGTCCCTTTTTGCATGAATTCAACCACCAGCACTGCTTTCCTGTCCTGTTCCAGAAAACAGTTGCCATCAGCTTCTGGCAGACCTGGGTTCAAACATTTTGGCTGTTTGGTGAAAGTGTGTGCACCCACTGTTTAGACTGCTCTTTGGTTTCAACATTCACAAATGAAACCCAGCTATAATCACCCATTACTTGTATGATGTGATCGAAAACTTCATCACTATCTTTGTGGTATTGCTCTAAGAAAGTAAAAACTGAAGCCATTCTCTACGTTTTATGTGCACCCATGAGCATTTTCGGAATCCATCTTGTGCAGAACTTATGATAGCTTAGCATAACTGTGATAATATTGTAGAGAACAGTGCTTTAAATTTATGGAAAATAACATGAAAGTTCTGAAATTGTGAAGTGTCATCTCCCATAAATGTTTAGCTCAACACTGAACAAGCTCATCACTCACTGCAGGTGGCTGACCACTTTGTTCTTCATTGTGAATATTTGCTTGATTATCTTTGAACACTCTACCCCACTGTCTTACAGTTCCTTCACTCATTGCATTTTGGCCATAAACTGTGCATTATTCATGACGGATTTCCACAGCACTCATGTTTTTAGCATAAAGAGAGCAGATAACAGTGTGAATTTCGTGGCTGGTGGCATTATCAATCACTGGGCACATCATAACTAACTCTGTAGAGACAAGAACAAATACTAGGTGACCTGTCATGTGACGGTTTAGGAGACAATGAATCATGTGACACTACCTCGCATGTGTGAGCTCTCCTCTGCCCCTGCATTCATTACCTAAAATAAATGGAGGTTACTTTCTGAAGAGCCCTCATATAACTGTCTTGAACATTAAATACCTCTAGAATTAATAATTAGTCAATTTATGATGATGATGATTACTAAACATCAGATTTTTATGCACTGTGAAATGAAATGATAAGACCTGTTAAACCTTATTGTGTATTGGTACTGAACTGTGTTGTCTGCATCGAAGGAAACAGAATATCCATTTGCACAAAAAAAAAGTCTAATGATTACTGCTATAATAATAATGTGACTGAGTACTGAATATAATTTTTTTACCTTCTGTAAGTAGCCATTTGAATAATGCAGAAGATGGCATCTCGACTAATAAGTAGAGGGGAACAGCCAGTATATATGACATCACTATGACAGAAAGCGTTATGTATGTCTGCAAAGTGATCCAAAAATGAGTATTTACTGCACTGTTTACCACATCTTATGCCTATTTGATATTCTAATGTTCACATTTAAGAGTTCACTTTCCATGGTGTATAATCTCCTTTTAGCAAAATTAGACTCATTTTGTATTGACAAGAACATTTTAAACTAAGTGGCTCCATCCTCTGTGACCTGCAGTTGACTATCTTCTCTTGGTAGAAGTACAGTGCCCCCTTTGGTCAGAGGAAGATGTGAATCCCACTAGGCTTATCTGTGCCCTTTACCTTAATACACTGATCATTCAGATGGAAATAGAAACAGATGTTTCCATAGTCATGTAGTGTATTAATGGGTGAACTAACATTAAGTTGCTTAGGATAAGGTCCAGTGTGGGCTTGTATGAACTTCATGACGAGTCGTTGACTGCCATAACAGCAGGATACTTTCTTTGACACTTGTGTAACAATTTACTGTTCAAGGAAGACCATGCAACATGGAGTTAGATGATTGTATATATGAAAGTGGTCAATTTTACTTACAAGCCAAGGTCCAGAGATGTCAAAGGGCTCCTTCTTTGAAGAAATTTGTACCGCAATCACATAGAAGTGAATTAGGTACATACAATAGTAGAGACGACCGAGAATCTGGAATGGCTTTGATGATGCAATGCGGTTGATAATCCCTGGAAAGTTGGATTAAAATAAAATTAACTTTTCAGTCATTTATACACAGATTTATTATAAATGTTTCAACGTTGGCCTGATTCTAAATGTTGAATGCCTTTATGCCAAACTGGAGAGACTTAGCAGCATGAACAAATCTTTGTTATAACATAAGAGAAAGTTTCAATGTCTGAAGAAAACTGATATATGAATATTCAGAGAGGAAAATGACGAATATGAATACTGTGGGATACCTAACAGTATTCTGTATAACAGTACTCAAACATTCTATTTTGCTTTTACCTTCAGCATTTAAATTAGAATATGGAGTATGTAAGAAACACACAGTGTTATACAGGGAGATCGAAAAGTCGCACACATCAAATTGAAAGTTGTTATAAATTGAATTGCAGTTAATATAATTATATCTCCTACTGCTAGATGGTACTGTAGGAATGCTAACAGTGAGTAGAAACGCCATCTGTCGTGTATCGGTCATACGATGTCTAAAGTATAACTTTGTTTATTGCGTGACAGACATGTCATTTTCCCAAGAACGAGTTTTGATTCTGGAACATTATTTTGCCAGTCATTCTTATGCACGTGTCGCAGACAAGTTTCGTCTGGAATATCCAGATTATGCCGTTCCTAACAATTAGACAATAACAAGAATAATCAACCAATTTTGAGAATGTGGATCAGTTTCAGATAGGAAGAGATCCGGGAGGACTGAGGCTAAACTGGCTTATGTGGAGAAAATGTTGCAGCATTCCCCTTCAAATAGTCTGAGGAGACTGTCAGCGCAATCAGGATTTCATACGGAAGTTCTAAGAAAGCGATGAAGAAGTTTCACCTTCGTGCATATCGTGTTTGCTGTGTGCAGGAACTGAAGGACCTGGTTAAAGAAAAACAATTAGTGTACTGTAGATGGTTTCGGACATCTATAGGCAACTATGGAATTGAAGAGTTTGATCCAGTTTTCTTCACTGATGAAGTGTGGTTTCACCTTAGTGGCTATGTGAACAGTCAAAACAATAAGATTTGGTCATCTGCAAATCCACATGTGTTACATGAAAAGCCCGTGCACTGGCAGAAAATTGGAGTGTGGTCTGCTGTATCACATCGTTGAATAGTGGGCCCCAATTTTCTTTGGAACAACAGTGAACAGTCCAGTGTACCAAGACATCATTACACAGTTTATTGCGCTTCTTGAAGTTGATGAACATGAGTTTTGGTTGCAGCAAGACGGTGCCACATGTCACACGTCTAATGAAACCATGTAGTTCTTGCGTGAGTTTTTCAGTGACCATCTCATTTAGAAAGGATTGTGGCCCCCTTGTTCGCCCGATTTGTCACCCGCAGATTTTGTCTTTTGCGGGTACCTCAAAGGAATTGTCTGTAAAACAATCCGCATACACTGGGTGACCTCAAGAGGAACATTACGGTGGCGATTAACAGCATCAGTTTACAGGTGCTCCACAAAGTGGCCTCAAACATGGTAAAAAGAGCTCACGCATGCATTGCTGAACAAGGAAGCCATTTCGAGCCTATGTAAATCTTGATAAATTTCTTGATCATTGTTTAATGTGTATTATAAGTATTATAAGTTTACCTCATTTAATTGCAATATTACTGTATTATTGTATAGATACTATGTATTCTAACTTGACTTGTTCCATATCCTATGGTGTCTCACCTGTACTGGATTTACGGAAGGTAAATAAATTCAATTCAATTCAACGTTGAATTCAATTCAATTCAATGTTGTAAAGACATGATTTGATTTTGCATTTCTAAGATGTAAGGTTATAAACATTAATAGTACGTGCTGTATGTCTTGTAGTTTGTGCATTAAACCAGCAAAATATAATTGCTTAGTGTGATGCGCGCGACTTCTCGATCTTCCTGTATTATGCTTTGAATATAAGAGCAATCTTAAAAACGTCCAGTGCCACTCAGTACAAATTAAACAATATGTAACTTCAAGAAATAAATGGCACTTACAGTGTTCCCATCTCAGAAGTTAGTTTGGACACCATATTTATACTGTTGATGTTGGGAATCAAAAAGTACTGGGATGGGTTGCTCTCAAATGGCATGCTGTTTAAGCTGAGTTTCAAGAAAATCAGTGTACTATATTCAGGTCCAAAATTGAAACAAGGGATTGGCTCAGCTTATTACTAAATGCTATAAACAAGGAACTTTACCCTTGTAACCATAAAATATAATGTAAAACTTACCACCATGTCCCAATGCACAACTTGTCAGAATGGTGCCTATTGCTGCTGCTATGATTATGCTATAACTACATCCATATAGACTTGCTATTAGGCTGTTATGTTTGTAGCTGGGCTGGTAGAAGACTGTGGATATCAGATGGGTGAATACAAGTGCTGTGATGGCAACAAGCCACATGACACAGTGCCCCACCTGGAAACATTGAATTATTATTATTATTGCTATTTAATAAAAACGTTTGATATTTACATTTCAAGTCGAAGCAGAAACATAGGAAGTCTAAGGCATGCAAAATATTGGAAATGTTTCTTGGATTTGAGGTTATCACTGTGGCTATGAAGATTTCTGTCTTTTGGGACATACTGCATGGTTAGAGTTAACTGGCGCTGTGTAGCATGGTTAGAGTTAACTGGCATTTTGGAGGAATATATAGCTTCCATCTTCAGGGTGCAGTGTAAGTAAGACAAGCAAGAAGCCAGAATGACTTATTCTTTGACCCTGAAAACTGAGGTGATATGTTCCTCAAAAATGTCTATTGACTGTCACTGGACTGTACAGCATTATATTCCAGAAAACAAATCTTCACTGATAAAACATGTCATTCTAGCACTCCAAAATGATGGGTACTGAGTCCATATTCACACAATTGATCACTTGAGAAAACTGCATTGCAGACATATAATTTCCACAGGCACCTGTGTGGGTAAATCTACTAAAGAATACGGTTTTCTGTTTTCTTTACACCTGGTGAGAAATTAAGTGCTTGTATAATTTATCTGCCTATGCACCACTACTGACATATATGTTACTGTCTTGTCACCAAAATGCAGGGCAAAATCATGACATAAAGATAGGAAACAGATGTTTTGAAAATGTGGCACAGTTCAGATATTTGGGGACAACGATAACAGAACGAAACCTGATTCAGGAGGAAATTAAGAGGCAACTGAACTCGGGTAATGCTTGCTACCATTCAGTCCAGAACCTTTTGGCTTCTTGTCTGTTGTCCAATATACAAAACTGTAATGTTGCCTGTGGTTCTGCATGGGTGTGAAACTTGGTCTCTGACATTAAGGGAGGAGCATAGACTGAGGGTGTTTGAGAACAGGGTGTTGAGGAGAATATTTGGACCAAAGAGAGATGAAGTGACAGGAGGTTGGAGAAAACTGCATAATAAGGAGCTTCATAACTTTTACTCTTCTCCAAGTGTAATTAGAATGAACAAGTCAAGGAGGATGAGGTGGGCATGTCATGTAGCACGAATGGGGGAGACGAGGAATGCGTATAGGATATTGGTGGGAAAGCCAGAAGGAAAGAGACCACAGGGAAGACCAAGGCATAGGTGGGTGGACAATATTAGAATGGTTCTTAGAGAGATAGGATGGGATGGTATGGATTGGATAGATCTGGCTCAGGATAAGGACCAGTGGAGGACTCTTGTGAACACAGTGATGAACCTTCGGGTTCCATAAAATGCTGGGAAATTCTTGATAGCTGCAGAACTGGCGGCTCCTCAAGAAGGGCTTGCCTCCATGTGTAAGTAGGTAAGTAAGTATGCACCACCTCTGACATGTGTCTTCATTGCTTGATTAAACTCTATGTAAACAGAGTCCCAGTATCTGAAATTTCAATCTTCATGCATTGCAATATTGTACTAACGTGTGCACAGTAAAGCTGGTCAAACACTGCATTTTTTAACTCTAACATTGCTATTTCACGTTAATATCTTGTCATAGGTCCCATATTACCAGATTAATTACCTTTGTCCATTTCACACTAGTGTGTGTTGTGTTGTGGTAGATGTAACCAAAGATAACTCCTATCAAATATGCGCCGAAGTTTCGATGGAATGTGATGTGGGCTCTTTGGAAAGTCTTGTCCTTAAACACCTGTTTTCCAGTCCTGTTGCGATACATAATTTTCAAGTAATTAGTGAAAGCATAAATATACCACTCTATCTAATATTCTGAATATGAATTCTTGAACAATAAATGCAAATGTCAAATTGAAAGAGATGTCTACACAAAACCATATATGTCCTTGGCCCTATGTGTAAATGTACTTTTATTATGTGCTTCTTTTCCTAAATATGTGCTGATACATACCCACATGCTCAATTTTAGTCTCATTGTCAAAACAAACAATGCACTAGCACAGGCATGTCCAACGCGTCGATTGCGGGATGATTTTTGTCGATTTCATAGGCCTATAAGGAAATTATACATGAACAGAATATAAATTCACTTGTAATATAATATGATTATATTCAAATTCTGAAAGGAAAATACGTGATAAAGTAGTCTGTACTTTCAATGTATATTGCTTTTACAACAAACATCATGTGTCGTGTTATTTTTACTAATATTTTTGCTTAAAGCAAGGTACGACGATAGGAGGGGTGGTGGATCAGTGGCAGTTTAGACACTAAAAATTCGATCACAACCTCTTTGAAGTTGGACATGCCTGCACTAGCAGATATGCACTTTTGGGATTTTGAAAGTTTGCCAGTAGACACCAATTGTTAACAGGTATGCTTACCAAGAGAAAAAGTGCTGCTTTTATTCAAACAGCAACTAGTTTTAGTACAAATGTTTCATTTGTACAAAATCGTCTTCTTCAATGTTCAGTTCTCTACTTATGGTTATGGGTTATGATATTTATTATATTAATTTTTTGTAATTTAAAACAATATTTGTATTTATTCCTTGTTAACTGAGACAGTCCCATCATTACACTGACTGGCTGCATGGTGGGTAATGCGATTCAGGTCCAAACAGGGGTAAGAATTTGTGCTCCATCATCACATCCACATCAGCCCTAAGACCCACCCAGCCTCCTCTCCAGTTAGTATCTGTTGTAAAGTGGCTTACATGTGAAGTTGACCGGTCAACCCCATCTAGTATTGAGGCTAAGAATACATGGAGCTTTACTTCTACTTCCCCATACATGACCATGGTATGCTGCATAAGCATAGGCTTATGTTTAGTGCACCATATTGGTAATTGCTTCCATCCATCAGTTACGCTGTTTGAAACACTTATTATATCTGAAAGATGATATTTTAAAATATTTCAATTTGGGCCTCCATATGCTTGTAGACTTGTAGTACTTACTGTATAATTGTCCTGTTGATTCAGAAAATTACTGACTTTGTTTGCTTTAGTAAGCTGCACACCAAATACACTTTATGAGATGTGCATGTAAAAATATGAACCCTAGAACTCTCTATTTGTGTATTTGTTATTTCCATGCATGCAGCATGAATTGGAAAATGAGCTCTAGCTCAGGTGAAATTTAACATCAAACAGAACAAAAGTTTTGCATGAGAACTTCAGACCAGAAAACTAAATTCAAGCTCTTTGCAGGCACAGAACCAACAAGCAGCAACATTATAATTGATAATGCAATGTTAGAGTAAGTGAACACCAGGGGCAGTGCGTCATTAGGGACTAAGCCCCACCTGATTTTGTTGTAATATTGAATTTTCATATTCATTCAAATGTTATTCTGTCTATTGAGTTCAAATTTGTATCAAAATATTAATATTTCTCGTTATCATGATGTAATTAAGGAGACACGAAAATGCAATAGTGATGTCTTGGCCATATCACAGCTTATTTGTATGGTTACAATAACGCAGGGGCTAGCTCGTCTCTAGCCCTTACTGTGTGTATCGTTAGCAGCCTTAAGTTCAGTGAACCTTTCAGGGATTCTAAGTATTGCATGTGTCTTGAAATGTCACGCTTTGGGCTAGTTTTGACAAGCCCACAATAAAAATAACACTATACACAAGGCTGAAAGTGATGGGTGGAGTGTGGATGTTATTGTGAACTTACCTCTATACTTCCAGCCTTAAGTAACACGTTCTTTGTAAGAATAGACAGAGGGTAGGTTTTCAGACACCATTCAGATTCCATCTCTCAGTTGTGTTCTGAGCAGTGGAGAAGATACAAGTTCCAAAATAAAGTAATTGTAGCATAGGCCTAAATTAAAGTTGTTTTTCAAGTGTAATTTCCAAATTAGGTTTTAGGTTAATATTGTATTCGTGTTAGAATTAGTGATTAATATTGTGACATGTAAGATTTGAGGCTTTCACGGCGGTGACTATGAAGAAAGCAGTCTTCTGGGATTTGGCACCGTGTATATGTTTGACCGTGTCTCACGGTGTTGTCGCTTGCAGATTTACCTATACTTCTTCAACCCTGAAGATGGGGGCGATACGTTCCTCCGAAACGTCGGTTAACACCACATATACACGGTGCCAAATCCCAGAAGACTGNTGGAGTGTGTAATTCAGGGAGACTTGTATAGCTCCCGCGTTATTAATACGTGAAGACTCTTGAAGATAGTGTTAAGAGATTTTGTTGTAGGGTTTGTAAAGTGTTGAAACCCGTAATATTGTGATAATTAATTGTAGCCGTTATTTGAAGATTGTTAAATAAACCAATTAACCATCTCTACGGCGTCTTCAGTAACGAAACACGTTACAATATGAATAGGGTGGACGCCCTTCTGAAATCACCGTTCTCAACTTTGAGTTTAGAAGAGAAATTACAAGTAAATCTCTTGGCGCGCATGAACCAACAGATTTCAGACTTGATCAGAGATGCAAGACTCAGAAAAGAACGTTTCCGTTATCTTGGTTTCGCAAGAAGAAATGGCCGACTGTAAGTGAAGAAAAGAAATCAGTATTTTGTTTTGAGTGTTTATTGTTTGGTAGGGAAACGAGTTGGACTGCGACAGGTATAACTGATCTTAAACATTTGTCAGAACGGGTTAGAAAACACGAAGCGTCGCAAAGGCATGTTGAAAATGACGTAAAAGTTAATCTCTTTGGTTCTGTCAATATTTTCACCCAATTAAATGATAGCTATAAGGTTTCTATTCAGCGTCACAATGGACTTGTGGGTAAAAACAGACACATATTAAATAGGATAATTAATTGTATAAAGTTTTGTGGAACGCATGAACTTCCTCTTCGGGGACATGAAGAGCGCGGGAGTTCTTACAATCGCGGGATATTTTTGGATCTCATGTCGGAACTAGCGGCTTTAGACAGTATTCTAAGTGAACATTTAAGTAGCGCAACTGTGTCAAAAAACACGCCGAAAACAATTCAAAACGAATTACCGTATTTACGCATGTATAGGCCGCACATTTTTTGCCAAAAATTCAAGAGGAAAACTGGGGTGCGGCTTATATTCGAAATATTCGAAATCACACTTCATTTAAAAAAAATTATATTCATAATTAGTAATACAGGGTGTTCTACTCCTGAAATAATATTCCAAGAAAATTATTTTTTCTATAATTTCTGTCTGAAAATTGTGCTGCGGCCTATACACGCACGCGGCCTATACATGCGTAAATTCGGTACTGGACTGTATACTTGTATATGCGGTATACAAGGAAACGGTCAAACAAGAAATTCAAAATGCAAAATATGTAGCTGTCCAGGCAGATGAAACTTCTGACGTGTCATGCATGTCCCAATTAGTTATTCTGCTACGGTATGTCAATAGCAGTAGACCTGTTGAAAGACTCATTTCCTCTGTTCACGCTCAGGATCGAACTTCAGAAGGTTTAGCATCAGTACTTAAACAAGAATTAGGACCTTACAACCTTGAACAAAAACTAATTGCTCAATCCTATGATGGCGCTCCCGCATTTTGCATCACGAACAGCGGGGTCCAGGTAAAGATAAGAGATACATTTTCTCATGCACATTTCATCCACTTTGGACATTAATAAGAGAGAACAATCTTGAAACCGCTGTGTCAGAAATACACAAACTGACAGATATTGTACTTACAACTCCAGTATCAACCGCCGGATCCGAGCGTTGTTTCAGCACTCTAAAAAGAGTTAAGACATACCTAAGGAACTCAATGGTTCAAGAACGTCTGAAGGCACTGGCTGTACTTAGCACTCATAAGGACATGATTGCAGAGATTCCGGCATTCAACCAAAAATCGATTGATTTGTTTGCTTCCAAAAAGAATAGACGAGCGCAGTTCCTGTATAAATGAGGTAACTTTTAAAGCATTATTTTAATTAATTGCATGAATTGCAATGGAGCATGCTTAAATTGTCNTACCCAAACAAATTTTAAATATAGTATAACTGTTAGTATTTTTATTAAATATTTATGTTTCATTCCATATCAGCTATTTGTTTGTTTACTTTTACTTTTATTCATTATTATTTCTTCCAAGTACTTACTTGTAATTTGTATGTGACTTTTAATAAGTTTGACTATAATGTAATTCATTCATCTGCACTGTGCTGTGTCTGTAATTAGCCTTGCGGCTGTTGACTCGGCACACTAATAATAAAGAATTGAATTGAATTTAATTGAATTATTAATTAAATATTAATGTTTCCTTTTCACTTCTAAATAACACTTAGTTTTATGATAATGGAATTATTATTATTATTATTGTTATTATCATTTATTTGCTTGTTATTTACTTTTATTCATTATTGTGTTTACCCAAGAAATTGCCTGTAATTTATTTTTGACTTATAATGTGTTTGACTAATGTTTGTATAATGTTACACGTAATTACTTTCATCTACACTGTGCTAAGTCTGTAACTGGCCTTGCGGCTGTTGACTTGGCACATAAATAATAAAGAATTGAATTGAATTATTATTATTATTGTTGTTGTTGTTATTATTATTGTTGTTGTTATTGTTATTATTATAACGTAAGAATGTATAACTGTCTCGTATTAGCCCCACCATCTATTTGAGCCAAGAGCCGCCACTGTGGAAGACAAAGGCGGATAGTTGTCATAATCGTGGCGGTCCTTTGGTAAGGCACTAGCGTATGGTTTAGGAGAAACGTGGTTCGAATACATTACTATTTTTTGTGAGGAAAAAATTAAGAAATTTGTGCAAGTAGGAAGCAAGTCGTACTATTGTATATGAGGAAGCCGAAGGTAACAAATATGTATAGATCTGGTGGTACGTGGGTAAGACACTGGCGTAGTATTGGAAAGGTACAGGGTTCGAGACCACGGTGTCTTTTGTCAAGTGAAATTGAAAAGTGAATAAATAAATACGATTTTTCTGCAGCTATAAACCAAGTCGTAGAATATAAGGAGGATCGCAGAAAGCGGTAGCATAAATATTCTGGTGGTCTAGAGGTAAGGAACCGGCGTTGTAAAGAAAAGGCCCGTGATTCGAGACCACCAGGATTTTTGTATGTAGAAATGAAGGTAATGAGATTCTTTCTGGAATTATATAGCGAGATGTAACATAAAAGGAAGATTAAAGGTTAAAATTTCCGTAGCATCGGTGGGCTATGGGTAGGTGGTGGTCTAGGAGTAAGACATCAGCCTAGTATTCAGAAGGTCCCTTGTTCAAAACCAGTAGGATTTCTGTGAAAAAATGAAAAGAAGAAATTAGTGAAGAAAGGCAACAGCGGAAGAAGTGAAGAGGGAGGGACCGGGGGGAGGGAAGAGTTTTGCGGCCGCTCATTAAAACACTTGCCTAAGCTTTTTTTAAAATCCACCTTTTATTAAAATCGCAAAAATTTGCCCCACCTCCGCCCCAACCACCCGCCCTTAGGGTTGACTTGAAGTTATTCATGTTATATTTTAGCGTCCTGTTGCACTGATTTAAGTTCATGATTTGTTTAATCCGTCTTGCAGTGCGTACACTTATCTATCTTCTTCTTGAACTTGAACTTGAAGTTATTCACTTGAGACCAAGCTAATTCAGCGAGAGTTAACAGGAAAATATAAAATAACTGTAGCGCCATCTGTGGAATAAAATCTCATGGAAAGCCACGAAGTGAAGTAAAAAATGTTGCATCTTAGTTTCTTATTATGTGCCTTACTGGGCTGTGCAAATCGCTCCTCTGAAGAATTCATTCTATGGGGTAGGGCAGGATGTACTGAGGATGGAAGCGTGGGACCCCACCCTCACCCACCCTTGTAATCACGCAGAAAGTTAATCACACGAGACCAAGCTAAATCAGCAAGAGTTATAAGAAAATATGAAAAGAACTGTAGCGCCATCTGTGGAGTAGTGTTCAACAGATGGCACTACAGTTTTACTTCATATTTTCTTGTTAACTATCGCTGATTTAGCTCGATCTCAAGTAATTAACTTTCTGCGTGAACCCAAGAGCGGGTATGGTCCCATGCTTCGCCACCTGTGGAGTAATGTTCAACAAATGGCGCTACATTTTTATTTCATATGAATATGAATACTATGGAAGCGTAGGACTCCACCCTAACCCGCTCTTTGGGTCAAGCAGAAAGTTAATAGCTTGAGACCACACTAAATCAGCGAGAGTTTACAATAAAATATTAAATAAAACTGTAGCATCATCTGTTGAACATTACTCCACAGATGACGCTACAGTTATTTTATATTTTCTTGTTAACTATCGCTGAATTAATTTGGTGTCAAGTGAATAACGTCAAGTCACCCCTAAGGGTGGATGGTTGGGGGTGGATGTGGGGAAAATCTTTACGATTTTAATAAAAGCTTTGGCAAGTGTTTTAATGAGCGGTCGTAAAAGTCTTCCCTCCCACCTGGTCCCTGCCCCTTCACTTCTTCCTCTGCTGTTGCGTTTCTTTACTAATTTCTTCTTTTCATTTTCTTTTCCACAAAAATCCTACTGGTTTTGAACGAGAGACCTTCTGAACACTAGACTGATGTCTTACCCCTAGACCACCAGTACCACAGAAATTATTTTTTAATCTTTCTCTTAAGCTACATCTTCGGTTATAATTCCAGAAAAATCTTATTAACTCCATTTGTATTTTATAAAACTTTCGTTGGCTCCGATCCTCGGAACTCCTGCACATTAGGCCAGTATCTTACCCATAGATCAACAGCACAGAAAGTTACTATCTTCAAACTTCCTCTTATGTTACACCTCGAGTCGTAATTCCAGAAAAAAATCGTATTAATCCATTTCTGTTTTACAAAACATTCGTTGGTCCCGAACATCTACCTTTAATCTTCCTCTTATATTACATCTCGCTATATAATTCCAGCAAAAAGTCATTACCAAAATCCTGGTGGTTTCAAACCATGGACCTTTTATTTACAACGCCGGTGCTTTACCTCGAGACCACCAGAACTTCTATGCTGCCGCCTTCTGCGATCCTCCTCATATTCTACGACTTGATTTATAGCTGCAGAAAAATCGTATTTATTTATTCACTTTTCAATTTCTATTGACAAAAGACACCGTGGACTCCAAACCCGTGCCCTCCCAACACTACGCCAATGTCTTACCCACGTACCCCCAAATCTATACAAACTTGTTTCCTTCGTCATATAGTACGACTTGCTTCCTACATGCACAAATTTCTTAATGTTTTTTCTCATGAAAATAGTCATGTCTTCGAACCACGTATCTCCTAAGCCATATGCCAGTGCCTTACCAAAGGCCCGCCATGATTATGACAACTATTCGCCTTCGTCTTCCATATATCCTACCGCTTCGTTTCTACCTTTACAAAATTCCTCTTACTTGTTGCTTCGTTTCAAAGTCATTTTATGACTGACGGTTGACCAGTCACTTTCTTTTAATTTAGAATCCAATCAGACGCTCTTGGCCAGAACTTAGTCTTGAAGTAAGCGTCACTGTTAGCGGCCTCCGTAGTCTAGAGGTAACGTACCCACCTCATGAATCGTGGTACGCGGGTTCAAATACCCGACGGAGGTCGTCGAATTTTTAAGGGCGGAAAAATTCAGGGAACAAGTCCTCCGGGAGGGACTTTAAGCTGTGTGTCCCGTGTCGTAACTTTACGGCACGTAAAAGAAACTAATATCTCCAAAGGAGATCACTGAGCCAAATTCCAGGACGTTTCCCGCCCAACAATAATCTCTAAGGCTTCTGATAGATGGGGGAAGCATTATAGATGCCGCTAAGCAAGTGGCCGAACTCGCTTGCTCGGCGGGACTGATGGTACGCACCATTTATCGGTAGGGTATAGAGACTGGTAGAATATCATAGAGGGAAGCATAATAGATCAAACTGGTCGCGATGCATGGGGAAACCCACCCTCTCGAAATAACTAACTAATAACTAAGCGTCACTGTTTGGTTTTTAATAGGAATTCTTTCTGATGACGAGACAGGTCTATCCCTTCTCACTTGTCACCGGCAATTACTTTCTACNCATAAGACATGCCTGTCACATTTAATATCAAGGAGAAATTTAAGGATAAAAAATTTTGTACATATATTGGGATTTCAAGTAATACTCTGAAACCTAACTTAGCTCAAAGAAGTCAAGTTTAACGTTCTGTTATAGGTACTCATACAATAACTCCATCTTTGATTTAGGCAGTGAAATTTGGATGAAAGGATAATATACGCAAATTGCAGGCTTCAGGAATGAAATTTTGACAATAAGCAATAATTACAGAATTTTAGAAAACGCAAAAGCTAAACTATAAAAATGAAAACTTCTTGCATATATGATTAAATGCTTTCAACATGTGCAAAGAAAATCAGACTACAGGATCCCAAAACAAATCCTGTAATAACATCCAGCAGGAGGCAACAACGTGGAAGACTATTGGATATGTAAATGCTGAAGCTGGTTGCTGTGCAATGGCTTTCTACGTTGTACTATGATGATAATGATGTGATGCAACCAGACTTTTGGTGGTGAAACCATGTGCAAAGGAGCTACGTGCAATTAAATGTGAGGAAAATACTGACCTTGTGTAGAAAAACTGTAAATTATATGCATTAGTCTGAACCAGCTTTGGTCAGCCCTGATATAGGCCATTCGTTTTTAGCAGAAATAAGCATGCAGTTGAATAACATTAAAGATTTTAGACATGCAGAAATAGTGAAAGAATTAAAGGTGGCTAAGGAACTGAAAGTTGGGAAGAGATCGTTGAGTGATGGGCCTAATTTCATTCAATTTGAGAGGGGGTTCTAGAGAAGGGAGAATGTGTATTTATAAACATCAGAGAACATCAAACTTTCTATATATTGATATAAATGCCAGTATCAAACCATGTGAATGCAGAGTGTGTTATGACGGTACTAAACTAACAGTAAGCATGGATGCTTTCGATTCCAAACGGTTCTGATGATGGTATATAACACTCAGAATTACTGGGTTTTTGGAAAAAGTCCCAAAACCCAGTAATTCTGGAATCGTTGCTTTATTTTATGATTACTGCTGTGAAAAAACAAGACATGAGGTAACACCTGTACCAAGTATGACGACACCATTGAGTATTTACTCCATCAAAGAGCTTAGACTATGTTGCCCCACTAGAAACTACTTCTGGAATTTGTGTGAAGTGGTTTCCTTTAATGTTAATGCTTGTGAAGCCATGCAGAGTGTCGCTGGAAATATGTGCATGCTTACTGTGGATAGAGAAGAAATAAAGGGTTCAACCCCTCAACATAAGTTTGTATGAAGGAGGTGAGAACACTTGCAAACAGCACACCAGCCAGCACTGCCTTGGCGTAACGCGGATGCTTCCACACCACGACCACAAGCAACGTGGCCACAACATGGCACTGGAAGTCAGCAGCCAGGTACCAGGACTGCGGCATGCACTGCAAATATTATGTCATTTTGTGAGTAAATATTGATTTGTCTATTTAATGTGGGCACGTCAATTGGTGTTGGTAAAAGGCTGCCATTAGTATTGTGTGCAAGTTAGAGATATTTGTTTCAAATGTTGTATATACACTGAGTTGTATTTTCTTATACAGTTAACAGACAAACACATTTTAAGTAAAAAGAAGAGTACAGTAAAGCTATCCCCATAATGGGCTGTGGAGGCCCATAGGGTTGTGAGACGTCAAGGCTCCCACATTTTTTATATAGTCGGCTCACAGATAGCAGTGAGATTGTCAGCCTTATGCACTGGCTGCACCTTAACTCCAACAAGATTTCTGGTACTCATTTCTGTTAGAGGCTACATCAAACCCAGGGCCATAGTACGGCTGGAAGGATTAGGTCAATTGAAAGAATCCAATGACCTCATTGGGAATCGAAACCATGACATTCTGGCTTGTAGCATAGTGCCTCAACCAACTATGCTGTTGTGTGCCCCTCACACTTTTTAAGTGAAATTACTATTCAAATCTGTGAGGAATTGAAACTGATATGTACTAAGAGAATATTGTTAAAAAAAAATAATGAAAAAGAAGTTAATTTAAACTTTCAGTGTACTTAATAATTTTCTCAATATAACAACACCTCAAAACTATGAAGGTACAGCTGAGCGGCCATCACTGGCATGACAGGTGACCCACTGACTGACAGCCAACTGATGCAGTACCTACTCCAGCTATTCAGTAAACACTCGATACATGAATTATATCACCTTACCACAGAAAGGATTGAAGTTTTGTGTAATTTCCAGATGTTGAGAGCTTACCATTTCTTCAACTTTATAGTAGTTGTTCAAATAAAGTAAGTTGATCCACCAGTTACGTCTGCAGTTCTGAGCTTCAGTGCCCACTACACTGTTCCACATAGGCCCTTCACTCATGTGGATGTACCAGGTAGCCCCAAATGCAACTGCTACAGCATACACAACAGATAACCTGAAACGATGCAATGTGACTAATATTAAGGTAAATATAATGTTGCCAACCTCAACCCTAAATTTCACAATAATACCATGCCCTGTTCACAAGAAAGAGGATGAGTGTCAGATAACTAATTAAAAGCATTCTTTATTCATAAAGACAATATATTATAGGTAAAACTTCCTTAAAACTACCAATAAAAATATTAGGTTGACTACAAGTCCAAACACTATAAGACAAGGGCCTGGCCTGTGTTTTAGGCTTGTTTGCACTATCATGATTATTTTGATGTTTCATTGATTACATCAAGTAATTACGGTAAGTAACCAGAAAATTTTTTTATAGTTCATGGACATTAAGAAATAGTGACACAGGTTATCTCAGTCAGTTTCTGGATGGGAAATTTGAATCTGTATGATGAAACAATTTGAAATGCTGCAATTTCAGAATATTACCATTACTATCGCTGTTATTAATATTAGAAAAAAACAAGCTTTTTCCTGTTATTCAATGGAGAAACTGTCAGTGCACTCTATAGATAGTTTGCAATTTCACAGCACTCACATGTGATGTTCCTTCTAAGCTGTGCACATGCGTGGCCATGCAGTGGCTGTCACACTTCCACACTTTTCGGTGATTAAAATTTTATGTCTGTTATGGACCTTCTTCAAAAATCGTTGTTCCCCCCTACCCCCAGGTTGCCCGAGCCAACCCAATTGCTCCTCAGACAACACCATGGCTTGTGCAATTGTGTCCCTGTCTTAGAGGGAACACTGCTCACATGAGAACCTACTTGGCATTTCTACCCAGTACACAGCTCTGTACTTATTAAATATATTCATTGACTTATTAAAACGGAGATGAGAAACTTTGAATTTAATGAGGAGTGAGCAATACTCCACTCTTAAAATTTTTATGTTTGTAGACACGGTTATACATAATTAAAATGGAAAGGCAAATGATTTCAAGCATATAGAGGCAGCAAGGAGAAGGGGAAGACAAAATATTACACTGAAAAAAGCAGTCTTCTGGGATTTTGCACCGTGTATATGTGGTGTTAACCGACGTTTCGGAGGAACGTATCGCCTCCATCTTCAGGGTAGAAGAAAAATATATAAGAAATCTGCAAGCAAAGAGACCGTGAGAACCGGTAAAAGCAGACTGGAAAAATACACAGCTATGTGAGAGCAGTGAGGGTGAAGGGGGAAAGGGCAAGTATACAAGTGAAAGCAGTAGTGTGGGAGGGGTAGGGGAAGGGAGCTGGGACAAGCAGGGTTTTTGTGTAGGGGAGAGAATGGCAAGTTGAAGGCTGGGCACCAGCCGTGAGCTGAGGGGTGGGGGTTGTTATGTTGGTTGGTCATGGCCTGTGTGGCCTGGATCTGGCGTCATATCCCGGTGGGGGTTTTTTAAGAGAACAGATGAGAGGTTTCCAAGACTTGCTGAGACAAAACCCCCCCCCTCTCTGTTCATATTTCCTGGATGCAGTTCAATCTCAATAGCCTCCCTAATAATGCGATCCATATAGCGGGTCTTGGTGGCGAGGATGGAGGTATTCTGAAGCTGAATTCGGTGTCCCAGATCGATGCTGTGTTCAGCTACGGCCGACTTGTCCGGTTGTTCGAGACGGATGTGCCGCTGATGCTCCTTCAACCTCATGTCCACGGAGCGGCCTGTCTGCCCAATATAGACCTTCCCGCACTCGCATGGGATACTGTATACACCCGGTGTCCTTAGGCCCAGGCTGTCTTTAACCGGCCGGAGGAAATTGGATAATTTGTATGGAGGCAGACCCACTGCTTTGATGTTGTGTCGGGACAGCACTCTGCTGATATGGCTGAATATTGTCCTGACATAGGGAAGGAAGGCGACAGAGCAACATGTGAGGTTCTCATGGGGGTGACTGAAGATGGATGCAGTATATTCCTCCACAGTGATCTGCCATACTACATGGCATCACATCCTGGAAGACAGATATCTTCATAGTGGCTACCAGCTCTGATAAGTGGTACAGTCAAATTATTTGTTTCTTTGCGATGGCTGAAAATCATTAACTGGGATATTCTTGACTATCTACAGTAAACAAGAATACATGAGGTAAATGGAAAGATAACAACTTAACATGGACTTCATTCAGTGTGATAAAAATAATTATATAACTGGAATAATCAATGCATCATGAACTATGCTTTTAATTTACCTCAAACTTGCCTGGAATTTGTTTAAAGGCACTCCATAGATATTCCGAATAAAGTATATTAACAACAATGTTAACATTCCTTGAAGCTTTCTGGCATTTGCTTAAGTGCCCTCCGCAGATATTTTGAACAGTGTTGAAATATCTGTTTAACCAGGCTATTAATTAATCAACACTAGCCACTGGATGTATCAAGAAGAGGATTAAGAAATGTAAATGCAGGCTTCTTACAGCAATACAGTGAGCAATTTGTCTCGTTCAGTGCAGGGTCTGGTCCAGTGGCGGGTTCTTGTGAACCCTGTATCCTTGTGTTCAAACAAGGGCAGCAGGTTTCTACATTATCTGAGTGACTGTCAGCTTCTAAGAGCTCTAAACAGTCAATCAGTTGTTGGATTAGTATTCTGACAAGTGAATTGAATTTATTTTGCTTTCACTACAATTATTACTTTTTCTATTAAGAGATATGCTTGGCCGCGCCATAGCTCAAGCGGTTAGTCGCTGGCTACCACCGTGGCCATCCGGGTTCGATCCTGGCTCTGGTCAAGTGGGATTTGTGGTGAACAAAGTAGCGCTGGGTCAAGTTTTCTCATAGTACTTCCGTTTCCCCTGCCAATCTTCATTCCACCAATTGCTCCACAAGCACCCTCAACCTATCATCTGGGGCTGGTACAGTAGGCCAGAAGTGGCCGCAGTGCAAGGGACTTAGTCCCACCCCACTAGCAACAAAAAAAAGAGATGTGCTTACCTTATATATCGCTGAATGACAATCATGAAGAAGTCAGGCCATTTGAAGATTTGTTTTCTATCCAGTTCTCTCAAAAGCAAATAGCTGAGCAGGAAACCGCCAATGTAGAAAAATGCAGCCAGAAATACAGAGCAATTGTAGATGGAAGCCCAGAAGATATTGAAATATGACTGTAAGAAACAGTTTAATTAATACTCGTACATTAAGAACCAAATAATTAAACATGTCTCATGTTTTAGAAATAGAATATCCAATGTCTTCATCATAAACTCTACAAACGGTGTGATTCAGATTTTAAATTTGTTACAAAATGCCCTGTAAAAGAGCTTGTGACATGTCAAAGTACCTTCCCCCTTTTTACTTTTCTTTTTTCCAGGACAGACTCAGTTCTTCCAGAAACTGATCTTCATACTCCATGGAGGAAAGAAATTAGTTGTATGATAGTTACTTATATTTAGGCCGCGCCACAGCTCAAGCGGTTAGTCGCTGGCTTCCCACCGCGGCGGGCCGGGTTCGATCCCGGGTCTGGTCAAGTGGGATTTGTGGTGACAAAATGGCGCTGGGGCAGGTTTTCTCCGAGTACTTCGGTTTCCCCTGCCAATCTTCATTCCACCAATTGCTCCACAATCACCCTCATCTATCAGCTGGGGCAGGTACAATAGGCCAGAAGTGGCTGCAATACAAGGGACTTGGTCCCACACCACTAGCAATAAAAAACTACTTATGTTTAGTATGCCAGTATGCCTATCACATTCCAGAGAAAGATAAGGGTAAATCTATCCATGTTCATAATTGAGCATCATACCATGTAAATGCAACTGGCTACAGGCTTGATGACCGAAGGGTCAGAGTGCGAGTTCAGGTAGGATCAAGAATTTTCTCTTCTCCACATTGTCCAGATCGTCTCTGAGGTCCACCCAACCTTCTACCAAATGGGTACCCGGGGCTCTTTCCCCGGGGTAAAGCTGCCGGGGCTTGAAACTGACCACTCACCTCCAGCTAGTATCGAGGTCAAGATTATGTGGATCTATACATCCACTCCTCCATAAGCCTTCATGGTGTAGTGCTTAATTAGTTAAATACAGGAACAACTTTTACCTTACTATGGACGTAAATGAAGGGGAAGGGTGACAGTGGCTGCTTTGAGGCTCTAGAAAGTTATTTCATATACAAGAAAGATGCTGGTACCCATTGGATAGGAGGCTGTATGGAACTCAGAGCCAGTCTGATTGTAGTGGAAAAAGAAAACAGTCCATTTATGACAAAGCTGAACATGATCGTGAAGTTCGGCTACAGAGTGGCTCATTTCAGTCCCAGCATTCACACTGTCCCAATAGTTTTTCAAGTCGACATGCAGGTCATTATCTTGCTGTTGGATGACATTTCAGGATATATTTTAGGGTGGTCATATGTGGTCTATAATTTATCTAATGAACTCCAAAAATAAAACTTCAGTACCTATATTTTATGTAAATACATGCACTAAATACTAAGGTTGACCTTTCATATGCCTAGTACTGCCAAAATAAATGATTGACACCATTCTCAAAATGGCTTATTGTTCCTGGTCTGCAATATGTCAGGTATGTGCTTCTGCCAGAATCCTTACACTATTAAGATATGATAAAAGCATATCAAACTTAGTCTCTGACATTTAGGGAGGACCATAGACTGAAGGTGTTTGAGAACAGGATGTTGAGGAGAATATTCAAACTGAAGAGAGATGAAGTGACAGTAAGTTGGAGAAAAGTGCATAATGAGTAATGTACCCTTCTCCAAGTCTAATCAGAATGATCAAATCAAGGAGTATGAGCTGGGCAGGGCATGTAGCACAAATGGGAGAACAAGAATACATGTAGGATATTGGTGGGAAAGCCAGAAGAAAAAAGACTACCGGGAGGTTCAAGACGCAGGTGGGTGGATCTTAGAGAGAGAGGATGGGATGGTAGCTCAGGATAGGGACCAGTGGAGGGTTCTTATGAACACCGTAATGAACCTTTGGGTTCCATAATATGCTGGGAAGTTCTTGAGTAGCTGCACAAGTGGCAGCTACTCAAGAAGGGCTCAGCTCCATGAATGAGTGAGTACATGCATATCAGTTGTCTGTGCTAAGTACATAATTCTGGATTCACCTCTTCTATGCAGATGACCAAAATGTGTTGAAAAAAAGCTGTGCATCTGGTTTGTGGATTTTCACAGCTTTTTGATACTGTAGGAGTGTGTGGGAACCCCCATATTCTAACACACAGCTTCGCAATACAACATACAGCTTCTACCTTGTAGGTCAAAGTCAATGTTATTTTGCAACTGACAGTCACTCAGTCTGTCTGTCTTGGTGTCGACGCCCAGCTGGGGCTCTTGACCAGATGTTTCTTTTTATATGAAAGTTACTGTCCTGTCTATGTGGGGCGTCCTCTCTGACAAGAGGTCGGGTCTGTCATTTGTCATTGTTACTAATATTAAGCCTATTATCAGTATGTAGAATTATTTACAAGTTTATAGGAGCTCAGCCTCAACCCGAGAGACCAAGGTCCCAGTTCAACAGCCGCCGGCCAGGCAGCAGACCCCCCCCTCCCATGGCGACACCACATCCACTACCTGCTGGTACCACTGCCGCTTCTGCATCCCGGCACAAAACTGTACTCCGCCCTGCTCCTTTGGCCAGCAGGGAAACTAATGCAGCAGACATCACAGGTGGCACATGTCTGCGCCAAAACGGTAGGCCGCTTCTTCATCACCGACAGACTCACCAAACGGCAGTTCGTGGTCGACACCGGCTCAGATCTATGCGTCTACCTCCACAGGCTCGTTTCACGACACAGGAATGCGCAAACTACAATCTTTGTGCGGCTAATGGCACTACCATCCACACAAAGTTCGCTATACCACCGTCCAAGTGACATTGACGACCACAAGTGTAAGAGATGTAGAAGAGATTACTGGGCATAGATTATTACAAAAGTTCTACTGCAGAATCCATGGAAAAGCTTGAGTCAAGGTGGTCCAGCAAAATACTTCATAGACTGTGGCGGTTTCAATTTAGTCCATTACGTAATACCATCTGAAGGAATAAATTTGCTGGCAAGCAACATAGAATTCCCCATACCACTTCTCATTGTGTTTCTCAGTCCCATTTAAATGTATGTAAACTCTGCTCTTTCATGACTTTATCTTTTGCTAGATACTCATTACACAACTGACCTCTTCAATCCATGCTGGATTCCTGATTGGTCCATGCAGGGCCTGCAAAATGGCATGGGGTAATACAAAGAGGCATCCAATAAGAGTTCGGACACAGCTGATGGCTCGAAAGTTTGTAGGGTTGTCAGAACTACTTCTGGCACAAAATTTCTTCCAGTTTAGTTGTAATGAGAAGCACAGTAGAAATGTTTCACCTGCAGAAAATACATTATATGGATTATTAGAAAATAAAAACTAACTGTCCTTTTAAAGACTCTCCTGATGTCTAACTATATTAATCACTTACTGATCTTCACTTAACAGAGATATGTGGTGACTATTATTTTACTAATCTGTCGAGTGTGGTCATTACACTCCAAAGACAATTATATTATTCAAAGATCTGAGGAAAAGATAAACTCTCAGGCAGCTATATGCAGTGAAAATTGTAAAGGGACAAAATTGTAGATTTCCACTTCTTTCATTTTCTGGGTGTGATTTGTAGCTCAAAATTCACCTGCACTGACTCAACTGAACAGCTCCTTGAACACATTAAATATATCCCTTCATCAGTCACAGCACTTCTAGTTTATTCAATTTCTTGCTACAAAATCACTTCACTTGATATAACATCATAAAGGAACAAAACAATCAGACTGATCACTTCTGAATGGAAGAAACATGAAGCATGCAGTGGCAAGCTGTAAAACTTGACATGGCCCTGAAGACAGAATCTCAGTTGTCATATTTTCTGATCATCTGTCACATATATGTCAGTAGCCTTCAGTATACGGTCAGTATGTTCCAGACTTAAAGGAATTAAAGGAAAAATTGATGAGCTTATGATCTCTTTACGTAATCAGGCTCCTAGCTTAATTTGTTTGACCGAACATCATTTAATGGATCATGAAATTGATGCTATACATATTAAGAAATATAATCTGGGTGCAAAATTTTGTAGAAGAAAGTTAAAAAATGTTGGGTATGTATAGTGACGTGTTGCGCTATGGAGGACACCCCCTCCCTCCCCAGACGTGACGTGGCGGCATCGGAGCGCTGTCGTTACTACGATAACAGGCAAGTCAACACTCCTTCCCCTACCCCGCGGTAACGTGGCAGAGGAGCGGCTGAGTCAGGCAACCATTGCCGCGGTGACGTGGCGGGGGTTGCCGCGGTTACTGCACAGCAGGAAACAACTCTAATCAGTGCTACCCAGCAACACCGGTAAACAGGCGACCAGGCAACAAGGAAGCAAGGCGTTTTCCCGTTGTCCGGCTGAGGGTTTATAAGAGAACTACACTGCCTACGAAGGGAGTAGTAATTGTTGTTGTTGTTGAATTGGAACAGTTGGAGTATAGCAGCGGAAAGTAAAACCGGACACGTGTCTGATAATCAGTGATAGTTTGTGATAACTGAGAAGGTATTGGGAGTGAGTAATTAGGTTGCACTTGTATAACTCCCGCGTTATAAATACGTGTAGACTATTGAGGACAGAGTGGACAGATTGTGTAGGGTTATAAATTGTGTAAACCTGTAACAGTGTTATAATTAATTGTAGCCAAGACTTGTAGATTGTCAAATAAACCAATTAACAATCCGAACGGCGTCTTCAGTGGTAAAACACTTTACAGTATATATATGCATGAAGATTTAAAATTTTCTACTATAAATTTACATAAATACTGTAGAGAATAAACTCTGGAAATTGCTGCCATTAAAATAAAAATAAATGAGATTAAGATAATTATATGTAGTATATATAAAGCTCCACTGGGTAATTTTGATTACTTCAGTAATAAACTTGATTATATACTTCATTTTTTCATAAATATAATTTGGGATTTATAATATATGGGGATATAAATATAAATTATCTCGAATCAAGTAGTAAAAAAATAGATGACATCTTAAATACTTATAATCTAATGGGTGTGGTGTATTTTCCCACAAGAATAGGTAATAATTCAGCCACCTTGATTGACAATATATTCATTGACAAAAGAAAAGAAGTTATACCATAAAACCATGACACTCTATAACTTATTTATGCCTAATCAGACACCTGAGACTATCTACACTAGAAGCATTGATAATAATAATACTATCACGGAACTTATATCCCTATTAAGTTTGGGTTAATGTATTTGGTAATAATAATGTCAATATTATGTTCAATAATTTTCATAATATGTATTTAATATGCCTTTATACTTGCTTCACTAAAAAGCAGATTACTCATAATAATAATAATCATAGTAATTGGATTACTAAAGGGATAATAATATCATGTAAGAGAAACAGAGAACTTTCATTGTTGTGTAGACATAGTAACGACTCAAGTTTAAAAACATATTTTAAACAATATTGTAAACTATAATCAAATGTAATTAGTGAGGCAAAAAATTATACTATAACAAAATCATTACTAATTCTAGCAATAAAATGAGAAGCACCTGAAAGATAATAAATGAAGAAAAAGGTAAAATAAAACGAGATAGATGCATGCATTCTATTGTGAAAGATAATGTACCTAAAACCAATCAGAATTAAATTGCTGATGTTTTTAATAAATATTTTTTTACTATTGCAGATTCTGTTATAGGAGATACTAATAAATATGCAAGGACAAGTATTACTAATCCAATTACTTATTTGACAGATGTTTTTAATAGACAGTTCTCAAAGATGAGTTGGTAATGTGCCGCTACTCATGAAATTGAAAAAATTATAAAAACATTAAAGATGAAGAATTCTTGTGGGTATGATGAGATTTCAAGTAGAATAATTAAGCTGTCTGTTCCATACATAATTTCACCATTAACATATATTTGTAGTCCTATTTTGAGTAGCCGTGTATTCCCAGACAAATTAAAATATGCTTTGGTTAAGCCTCGTTTTAAAAAGGAAACATACAAGAAATAGCTATGACAGGCCTATATCATTGCTGATTTCTTCCTAGAAAATTATTGAAAAACTTATTTTCTCAAGAATAATTGCGCATACAGAAGTGAATGTATTTTGGCTCCTGAACAGTATGGATTTTGGACTAATCTTTCGACTGAGAAGGCAGCCTTCTCTCTATTAAGACACAATTCTTACAACCAAGAATAATATTTTGGCTCCTGAAAAGTATGGATTTAGGACTCAACTCTCGACTGAGAAGGCAGCCTTCTCACTATTAGACAGTATTCTTACAGCTATGAATGTATTTTGGTTTCTGAACAGTATGGATTTTGAACCAATCTTTCGACTGAGAAGGCAGCCTTCTCTCTATTAAGACAGAATTCTTACAACCAAGAATAATATTTTGGCTCCTGAAAAGTATGGATTTAGGGCTCAACTCTCGACTGAGAAGGCAGCCTTCTCACTATTAGACAGTATTCTTACAGCTATGAACGTATTTTGGCTCCTGAACAGTGTGGATTTAGGACTCATCTTTCGACTGAGAAGGCAGCCTTCTCACTATTAGACAGTGTTCTTACAGCTATGAACGTATTTTGGCTCCTGAAGAGTGTGGATTTAGGACTCATCTTTCGACTGAGAAGGCAGCCTTCTCACTATTAGACAGTATTCTTACAGCTATGAACGTATTTTGGCTCCTGAAGAGTGTGGATTTAGGACTCATCTTTCGACTGAGAAGGCAGCCTTCTCACTATTAGACAGTGTTCTTACAGCTATGAACGTATTTTGGCTCCTGAAGAGTGTGGATTTAGGACTCATCTTTCGACTGAGAAGGCAGCCTTCTCACTATTAGACAGTATTCTTACAGCTATGAACGTATTTTGGCTCCTGAACAGTGTGGATTTAGGACTCACCTTTCGACTGAGAAGGCAGCCTTCTCACTATTAGACAGTATTCTTACAGCTATGAATGATAAGCAGAGTGTGGGAGGTGTTTTCTGTGATTTGCAAAAGGCTTTTGATTGTGTCAATCATGAAATGTTATTGGATAAACTCAAATTTTGTGGAATAGAAGGTACTTTCAAAAAATTAATTAAATCATATGTAACTGGTAGACGTCGTAAGAGCAGCAATATAAATAATAGTAATAAAATATCCAAGTGAGAAACAATCAAACATGGAGTTCCACAGGGCTTGATTCTTGGACCTCCGCTATTACTATTTTATATTAACGATTTACCCAAAATAATAAATAAAGATAATATTATGGTATTGTATGCTGATGACACTATTAATATAGTTGCAGATTCAAATAATTCAAGTTTTGAAACAAATTTTAATCAAATCTTCAAAGATATAAATGCTTGGTTTAATGCCAATTTGCTTACCATGAAATTAAGTAAAACTCAATACTGTGCTTTTCGATCAACATCGTAACATCATTACCCATATTAATTATGATCAGTCATTTATCCCCAATGTATCAGAAACTAAATTTCTTGGTTTGATTATTGATGATATGCTGTCTTGGAAGCAGCATATAGATATGGTCACCAGTAAAACTTTCTCTGCATGTCTTTTACTTAGAAATATAAAATATATAGTATCATTTGAAACTTTAAGACTAATTTATTTTGCTCATGTACACTCTATTATGAGTTATGGGATAATCTTCTTGGGGGGGGGGCCTCCTCTTATGCTAAGAAGGTGTTTACTTTGCAAAAGAGAATCATTGGAAATATAATGAATGCTAAACTGAGATTCATGTAGAGAAATTTTTATAAAACTGGAAATAATTACGTTATATTCCCAGTATCATCATCATCATCAGTAATCTGTCAGGCGACAGGTCCACAGTCTCTTCCAAAACAGTTTCTCCACTTAATGCGATCTTCTGTTTTTTTGGAAAGAGACTATCCAGGAAAAGTGATAATGTGGTAGTTTTTCCATTTGCTTTCCACATCGCAGTACAACAGCCGTTCAAACCACTCTGGTCACGCCTGTTGCTATATATATTCCTTAATATTATATACAGTTAATAGTAAATATTTATTTAACTTAAATAATGAGATTCATAAATATAACACTGGATTATATAGTAATGTAGGGCTCTTGTCAACGATGTGTGTCTTTGTCATTACTCCGATGACAACCCACTTCTTCGG